ATGTGTCTAGTCGTTAAATGCTCATGTTCTATAAAACGTTCTAAAAATCATACAGGCAACTCATGGTTATACTTTCTTTCATGTAATGTGAAGTGATTCAATCACTCATATTTTTCTTAATTCATTATGCCTTAACTGCTCCAGGGCCACTAAAATGTTGGTCAAGTTTCACATTGACACTGATACTTTATTAGTCCGCAAATTTCCTTCTTAGAGTAATTTATATTTCCATTATTAAAGATAAACTTGTGTTACATCTATATCCAAAAGGAAGAAAAATAATGTTTGGTGGTTTATATATTTGAAAATTATGATGAAGTTTTTTCTTTTCTTATGAAATATCTTGTCACTATAGACTATATTTCAAATTTATGGTGTGCCTTTATTTCTTTGGGAATTTAAAATACTTTAAATAATTTGGGCTTTGCCTGATTCCCCAGAATTGTAGAGTATGACTGATAACTGCCTTTAGAATCTTTAATAGCTAAATTACAATTATTATGCAAAGCCCTACAATAGACAGTTATATGGATTGTTAAATGACTTTGCCTTTTTTGCAAACTATAATCATTTTCCTTTATTAGCTGAAGGATTTTATAATTTAAGGAAGATGAGAAACCTATAAGTCACACTTTCAAATAAGGAACATGGATATTGCAAACATTAAATTCCCCCATAAAAATGTTAAGGCATCATTAAACTAGGTTCAGATTAATACAATTCAGTCAACTCTAGATAGATATCTCCCATAATAAGCTGAAACAATACCTAGTGATCTAAGATGTAAAACATTTTACTACAGCCAATTTATAAACCTATAAAACATACAGGTATCATTCAACCTCTTTATTAATAGTGCATGCCTTGTATTAAATCAAAACCATTTTAAAGACCCCTCCCCTTTGGCATTCCCTTCCCCAGCTGTTGCCCCTCATTATGTGTTATCTCACTGAAGCTCATCCAAAATGAATGACAGCATCTTTCTTGCTAGAAGCAGCATAGGCAATTCCTGGCCTAGTGATACAGCTTGGCTAGCGCTGAGATTTATAGACACACTTGCTGTCCTCAAACTACAATATTCTATTGCTTAATGATGATGTATTTGTTTCTCTGTAGGTATGTGTTTTTTGTTCACTTCGGAAACATGCAACTTATTATTTGTAAGGCTTTTTCAAGTTGTTTTACAAGTGAATTATGTTCACAAGAAAACTGGTATTGGGACAATATCATGTTCTGAACAATGATGAATCTGGTTGGAAAATTCCTTTTAACACCTCATTTTTCCCTAGTAAGAAAGCCAAGTATTTCATATTGACTGAGTTGCTGAGGGTTTTAATGAATTATGTTTTCTGGTTATCTATTGCCATGCAATACTTCCAAAACGAAAACAATATTTACTAAGCTCACAAATCTATAGTTGGGGTAGAGTTCTGTGGAAGTCGCCTATCTCTGTTCCGCTTGCCATCAGCTGGAGTAGCCCAAAGGTTGTAGGCTGGCATCACCCAAAGATTTGCTTGTATATCTAGTGGTTATGTGGTCATTAACTCTATGTGCTGTCTCCAGCCTGGTGCCTCCATACATATCGACTCGTAGCTTCCAAAGCAGAGTTACAAGGGGGAGAGAAACAGATGGGATCTGTGTCTCCTTTTCTAACCTGGCTTCATAAGTCATATACGTTATTTCTGCCTCAATCTGTTTAAGATGAGTCCGTAAAACTGATCCACATCAACAGGAAGGGAATTGGAACAACCTTTTGATGGAAGAAGTATCAAAAAATGTGTTTTTGTTTTAAAATTGTCACATTATCAAAGGTGGAATTAATCTAGTAATTTCAAATATCACTCTGAAAAAAATACCTGTTCATTTCTAAAATTACTGCATCAAAAAATTTTAATATAAATTCTTGTTCTTATTACTACATTCCATATATTCCTTATGACACGATGTGTCATCCAAGGTCAATTTTCTAAAACATCAGTGTATAATTAAAAAATTAAAACATATGGAAACATAAGCAGTACCTTTGACAGAAAAATTTTGATCTGACTTATCACAAGTATATATGCACGAATTAAACTATTAAAAATTACCATTTAACATTAGATTCTTACATTTAACATAGATAAATGTTATTTTTAATTCAAAATTGTCCCCAAATAATCTTTAACTGGAAAAATGATTCTAAGGAATGAAGACCAAATCTCTAAAAATGAGATAATCCAGAAGAAAAAACAAAACAAAAACCATATTCAAGTATAACTGCTTGTACTGATAAATATATATGTACACATAGCCAATATTAAAACTCAAAAATTAATACAACTTTTATAAACAATTGACCATAAGAGTGCATCATTAAATTTGCTCAGACAGCTTTGTACAATAGAAGTTTATTTTTCACTCACATAGCTATCTAATATAAATGTTCCTAGCTGAGGGGAAGCTGTACTTACTCAAACCTGATACATTAATGCCAGTCAGAAGACTGTGCCTCATTACAGCCTTACACAGAGATGACCATGAAGTTTATTAACAGAAACTATCACAGTTGGCAGAATTTCAGGAAGTATACTTTGTTGTCTACAAAAGACTGGGAAAGCAAAATATATCACTATTTCATTAAATTATATAATATTTGTGACCCACCATTGAAAACATTTGTATATATCCTTCCTCATTTACCCTAATTTCATAAACTAGACTAAAAAAGACCTTAGTAACATTTTTAAAAGTTCACCACTTTAAAAATGTAGGGTAAGAAAACTGGCATGTAATACACTGTTTCTAGGCAGTGATTAATAGTTTTTCCAGTTGGTCAGAGTATGTAAAAGCTAAAGCTGGAATACTCATCACGATAAGTTTTAAAGGAAAAGTATGTGAAAGGATGGCTCTCAGAGGAATCATAAATACGCAGATTTGGCCGGGCACAGTGGCTCACGCCTGTAATCCCAGCACTTTGGGAGACCGAGGCGGGCAGATCACAAGTTCAGGAGATCGAGACGATCCTGGCTAACACGGTGAAACCCCGTCTCTACTAAAAATACAAAAAATTAGCCGGGCGAGGTGGCGGGCGCCTGTAGTCCCAGCTACTCGGGAGGCTGAGGCAGGAGAATGGCGTGAACCCGGGAGGCGGAGCTTGCAGTGAGCCGAGATCGCGCCACTGCACTCCAGCCTGGGCGACAGAGCGAGACTTTGTCTAAAAAAAAAAAAAAAAAAAAAAAACCACACAGATTTTTGTGTATCATGTTAATGCCCAGCAGAGATATAACTTTACAACCAGGTGGACAGGATGACTTGGCCTTCAGATATCCACCTGACTCTTTTCTGGCCATCTCTCCTTATATAACTGACTCGCGATAACAGTGGCCATGGTGGCAGAGATGGAAGCAATGCATGGGTCCACAATATGGACTTTCCGTCAATGTGGCTGATTGAGCACGTCACTTCTAAGTATCCAACCAGTCAGTTTCCGAAATAAAACCTCCACGCTGGGTATGGCACCATTTCTTAGGTTGCTGGGAGAGTGGATAACAAGCTGCAGGTTAAATGCTAGCATCTAGATTTTGCTGTTTCAGGATCCTGTGATCTGCAGTGATATGGGACAGCACAGTTCAGTGGCAGTATCCACTGATGTGAAACAAGGGCGTGGATCTACTGTTAACTCTCACCCAGAGAGCAGAGTCACCACTAAGCTTCTCAGAGTTGTCTGTGCCTACTCATCAGTGCATCCTACTTCCTGAGTAAAGGAAGTTCCCCTGAATTCTCCCAGGGATGGTAGTCAAACACTGGGTTCTTGGGACTAATTTAATATAGTAACCCTAAACTCCTTCACGTCTTTATAAACATTCTACACCAATTTTGTACACTACCACATAAGCTTCTGTTTTCCCACTACTTTTACTTTAGTATATCGGCAAGGTCAGACTTCTAACGAACAGCAAATCTATTTAGACCAGCTCTAGGTGTCACTCTTACAATGTTGCATTGTGGCTCCTGGTGAGTGAGCTTAATATTGTTTCACCCCTCTCCAAGGTCACTCTAACACTCTCTATTAAAGGACTTCACCCACCTTGGTCCCCAGGGTCTTGACAACACTTATTAATCAAGTATGTACATGTAGCATTGTGTGTTGTCATAATTTCCTGTGCCTGAGACCTAACCTTGATTTGTCAGCAATTTGGCCAAAATTAAGCCTTGGATCTCAACTTGAAAGACATCTTTCGTCAAAGGTCCACAAGGGCTGTGGCAATGGTACCATGGTCTAGGAGGTAGACACTTGTCTTCGGAAAGAAACAGTAATTAGAGTAACCTGAGAAAAACCAAAATGTTTGTACCTAATCCACAAATACTTATTTCAGGGCAACAAAGCCTTTAAGGTTATAAATTCCCCCAACAAGTTTTTACTTCTTTCTGTCCTATGATGTATGAATTTCTAAATCTTTTGATCTGAAAAGGACCTTAGCTCTATAAATTAACGTATCTGTGACAATGACTCTTGCTAACATAGCGTGATACATGAAAATGAAGAAGGGTAGACTTTTTCATCAGATCAACTACAGAATATATATACTCTTGGGGAAGGAATTTGCTTAAGGCCTAAGTTTTATTACAAAATATGCATAATACTATGTAAGCTACTGAATTATTGAAAAAACACCTTTAAATTAAATGCATGTAATTCTATTAAATCAAGAACTTTCATAGATTGATAAACTAAGCTCTGTAATCTATTAACTGTATGAATGTAAGTACCCATTTCATTCAAAAGAACTATGTAAAACAAAGGTAAACCACAAACTATGGCATGGTCGTTTAATAAATTCACACAAGCAGAGTATATTTGGCAAGGCAAACTGGATAGCTGTCCACCAGTAGGTTAGGGTGAGTGCAATGTTGTACAATAAATGAAAGGTTCTGTGTGAAGGAGAGTGAACAGGATACAACAACCAAAAAGGCAAACTGCATGTTTGAAAACACAGCTGTGGTTCATAGTCATTTCATGTCTACTAAACAGATTTCCTTCTCTTTCCAAATACATTATTGATCAATTTGGCCATTGATTTAGATCCACTGGGTCGTCTCTTTTCTTTGAGTTTGAAGTTTATCAGGATGTCCTTGATAATTCTGATAAACATCATTTCCACCTCCAGAGACTGCTCTGCTGCAGACAGCTCACAGAATTGGCATCGGTTATCCAGTGCCAGCTTTTGCCCTTCTTCCCAGCCAACCTCTCGCACATGACAAAGATCTCGTTTGTTGCCAACCAAAAACATTGCTGATTCCACAGCTCTGAAAGAGAGATACACAATTTTTAGCAAGACTGTTTTAACAACTTTTTTAAAAAAACAGATTTATAGCCAAAGGATTATAAATCAAAGAAAAAATAGTGTGTATGTGTGTTACTTATGGTCATGTGTGTGTATTGTTACACATAGCTCCAATTACTTAAAATCATTTTAGATAAAATGTAAATAGCACAGAAGCAACAAGGCTCTTAAAGTACAGGATTTGAAGTAACATGGACCTATTACTGAATTCTGGTGCTGTCTACTAACCAAAGTATGATTGTTATCTTTCCCACTTTCAATTTCCTTTAATGTAAAAATGTGGTACATGTTCATTATGGAATATTATGCAGCCATAAAAAAGAATGAGAGCAGGCATGTGCAGTGGTTCATGCCTGTAATCCGAGCACTCTGGGAGGCTGAGGCAGGCCGATCACGAGGTCAGGAGATTGAGACCATCCTGGCTAATACAGTGAAACCCCACCTCTACTAAAAATACAAAAAATTAGCCAGGTGTGGTGGTGGGCGCCTGTAGTCCCAGCTACTCGGGAGGCTGAGGCAGGAGAATCTCTTGAACTCGGGAGGCGGAGGTTGCAGTGAGCCAAGATCATGCCACTGCTCTCCAGCCTGGGTGACAGAGTGAGACTCTCGTCTCAAAAAAAAGAGCATGTCCTTTGCAGGGACATGGATGGAGCTGGAGGCCCTTATCTCTGGTAAACTGACACGATAACAGAAAATCAAATACTGCATGTCCTCACTCATAAGTGAGACCTAAATGATGAGAACATATGGAGACACAGAGGGGAATAACACATAATGGTGCCTATTGGAAGGTCGAGCGTGGGAGGAGGAAGAGGATCAGGAAAAATTAATGGGTTCCAGGCTTCATACCTGGGTGATGAAATAATCTGTACAGCAAACCTCCATGACACAAGTTTACCTGTGTAACACACCTGCACATCCACCCCGAACCAAAATGCAAAGTTTCAAAAATGCTAAAATAATCCTCACACAGAATTCTCAGAGATTAAATCTCATGGAGACTGTATACATTCAATGATGTATATAAAAATACCTAACACAGGCCCAGGCAATGAAAGATGCTGACGAAGTGTTATTTTTCATGTTCCTTATCAATTGCAAGGGAAGAGCGAGCAAATGTCTCTCTACTTACACAGTTACTATAATTGAACAGTCAATTTAGATAAAATTTTCATAAGCAAAAATATTCAATATTTATTGCTGTTTCGCTCCACTAATAGCCATTATAACATGCTCTAGAGAAAATTGTATAATCTCATGAACTTGCCCAATTCTCCTGTTTAAGAAATGTGTCTTTGTTAAGATAAAATGTGTCTGCAAACATCAATATATCCTCCTTGGTTATAATGAAACAACACAAAAATAGAGTTTGAGTTGAAGAATATATTAAAATCACTAGGCTTTGAAAGGCATAGAACACTGCAAAGATATCTACTATAAGGAAAAAAAATTGGGTGCACATAGTCAGTCTTCAACTCTTACTGGCCCCAATTCCACTAAAAGTTGGTTTCATTCAAATGACAATGTGTGGTGAACTTTTAAAAATGCTACTAAGGTCTTTTTTTAGTCTAGTTTATAAAATTATTGAAAAGGGTAAATGAGGAAGGATATATACATAGGTTTTCAAGGGTGGGCCGCAAATATCAGATATAATTTAATGAAATAGTGATATATTTTGCTTTCCTAGTCTTTTTACAGATTGAGAACTGAAAACATTCAAAGAATTATTTAGTCAATAAATTAGAAATATTTCCTGAAAAATGTCCAATACAAATGTTTATACTTTCAATATGTTTTTAAGTGTTCTTGAGTGATTACTTTGAAGAAATGTCAGAATTTTATTTCTGTCCGTTATCTACATCATGATGCTTAAATATAAGATATTTAATGATTGAAACAATGGAATTCTAAAATATCAGTAATATTATAGGAAATAAGAGCTATGAGGCACCTTAGTAAAATCTCATCTGTTTCTCCTATCCTGCTGCCACCAGTTAAATAATTAGAAAAATGAGCTCTAGAGATTAAAGTGGCTTACTTAGGCCGAATCAAAGGAAAGCAAGAATGTACATCATCTAACTCCAGGGAAATACTTTATCAATTATTATCCCATGATTTCTTTATAGTGGACATTTAAAATAGATACTAAAAGTACATATACCAATTCTCAGTAGTATTGTGCTTTTTTTACTTACCAGATTAGAATACTATTTAGATTCTAAGGGCTAAATTGGCTAAAAGCACGAAGACTCTTTTACAATCAGAACGTTGAGCAAAAATACTTTAAATGGAAAAGGCCAAAATGACTGAAAAATGGGGAAAACTTAAATTGGAAACTCAGATGCTTAAACTTTTATCTACTAATGAAACAATAGCTTAAGGCACAATCATGTTTTCATAGTTCCTTGTGTCAAGACAAGAATAAGGAATTGTTGATCAGCCCTTTAGCAGGTAAAATGGAGAAAAATGTATTCTCATATTTAGAATTTGTAAACAGTTTGATTATTCCGTCTATTTTGCTTTGATAGATTGAACAACTCAGTGACTAGGAATTGGATTTCACGGGATGCCAAACGTAATAAATCTGAATTTATTTAGTATCCTTAACATTTTTGTGAGAATGGAAAGAAAAGGTTGGAAAGAGAACTATCTTATATACAAAGGACCATTATTTTGCAAGTGAGTGTCATGTTAACGATAGAAGCTGTCTTGTAAAATAGCCATTTACTCAGGGCGAGTAACTGTTTATGGCAGCCAGGATATAAAGCATTCTCATCTTATTCCTTTTACTACATGTGTAACTCCTGTGGAATGGGAAGGTGAATTGTTCAGGGCTGTTAAATTTTGTAATTGGAAGGCTGTAGTAAACCCTTCCTAATGATGCTTACGGCTATATGATGATTTACTAAAAAGAAAGGAGAAAGGAATGAAAAATACCTTCCTTACCTTTTACAATGACTAGTCTGTGGCTCCCGGATTCTGTAGATCAGTGCTTTCGCGAAAGCAAATGAAGACCTATCACTGATGTCATACACAATAACAAACCCATCTGCCCAGTGAAGCTCACTTGTGAGGGAGAATTTTGCTTTCTGTGTCTGAAAATAAACCAAGTACATTAAGAGTGGTTGGGATCTAATACCTGTGTTTTTATACTTTAAACAGTCAACTAATGGAGACCCACTTCAGCTGGAAGATACATCAGTATGTTAAATACTGATATTTTCTAAAATACAGTTCTTTATTACTCTTTGTCCTTAATTAAAAGTGATTAAATGTAAAACAGAACTATAATAAAGTTATATCTAGCTAATTTTATAACTTTTCTAGAAGAAAACATCTCCACTTTTCCAGAAAATTTGATGAGCTACAATAATTGTCTTTTGAACTAATACCCACATATTTGTTGTGATTATATATCATTTATCTGTTAGTGAATGGAATATCTATTGATTTCTCGTACTAGATTTAAATCAATAAAAATCAAAAATATTATAAAGGTTTAGCTAAAATATTTAAGGTATATTTTTATTAACCCTAAATGATCTGTCTCATATAGTTGTTTTGAAGTCCTGAATAGATGGCCATTTTTCTCTTATTTGTATAATCCCATTTTAACTGTTTTCCCATATGAATAGACAAGGAGGTTTGTACTGAAAATCTATTTTATGTATTATGTTCTATTGACAACTGGTTAGTTATAAGTGCAACTTAGTTGAAAATAAAAAGTGAATTGATAAGCCACTTAACTATTATCTTCTGGCAGTGACACTGTGACCTGATAGAAATATAGAAACAGCCTAATGTTGCAATTTTAAAGATATTTGTGATATAATTTTTGACATGAACTTAGAGATGACAGGTAATGGAACTGACAACACAAGAAAATAATCTCTTAAATTTTTAATAATTAAAATGAGAAGAAACTTTGGTTTTAACACTGCAACTTTTCACTTTTTTCACTTACCACCATATAATCTTCAAAATCATGATTGTTAAAAAATCAGTCAATAAATCAATAAAAAAGGTGTTTTGTTTTACTTACTTGAGAACAAGGGTCATATATTTCCAGATTTAGTTGTTTCCTTTCCAAACACAAGTGCTTGTTATAGATAGATTCTGCAAAAATATTGCATATTCACTGTCAGTATGAAAATACTCTGAATGTGAACTCATATCTGAATCATAGTCTGATAAATTCAACCACTCACATTTTAGTGGAATCGTATTGTGCCCTTTTTATATTGCTGGTGACCGAAAGCATGTATTTGTTGTATTTACTCAGATATGTTTTTTTGTGGGTTTTTTTGTTTTTTTTTTTTTTGGAGACAGAGTCTTGCTCTGTCACCCAGGCTGGAGTGCAGTGGGGCAATCTCGGGTCACTGCAAGTTCTGCCTCCCTAGTTCATGCCATTCTCCTGCCTCAGCCTCCCGAGTAGTTGGGACCACAGGCGTGTGGCACCATGCCCAACTGATTTTTTTTTTTTTTTT